TGTGCACGGTGGGATCAGGCGCCGTACACGTACACGTGAGGCCCTGGTGGCTCTGCACAGTGCTCAGCCTTCTCTGCGCAGGTTCCCTTGGGCTGCCTGGAAAACATCGTCTGCCAGAAGATTTGTTTGGAATGTAATGTGATCACTCGAGTCCCCTACAGGAAGAACATGTTCTCAGCAAAGATTTTTTTCCAAAAACGGGTTGAACCAGTTTATACCATTCATGACCACAGGCTTCCCATGAGAATTGCCTGGCTTACCTCATAATTCACCCATAGTTGAGTTTGTCAAAAAAGAATTGTCTCCAAGAGAGTGCCCTCAGATACAAGATCATGGCTTTCCAGGGAAGAGAGAGCTCTTAAAGAAATCAGAGTTATTTCCCGAGGTCCTCTGAGGTCAGGTAATCAGTGTATAGAAGTAGAAGGACTGAAGTTTGGAACTCCCCAGGCTGATTGTCACTCACAGGGTAATACGTTTGCTCCATACATAAGGAGGAGCAGACCGTGGGCTGGATCACATCATTCCCAGACGAGGCTCAGGATGTGGTGACGAGGACCCACTTTGGAGAGGAACACCCCTATCTTCCAATGTCAGCTCACCCATTATCTGGAACACCCAGATATTACAGATCTTAATTTGTACACTTCCTAGTAGGGACTTTTGGTGGTTTATGCAAAGCACTGTAACAAGTGGTTAAGGCCTTCGCCCACTAGCATGTGAACTTAAGGGAGTTACTTTGCCTCTTTTAGCCACGGGTTCTTCACCGTGAAATATGGGTAGTAACAGTCCCTACTTCCTAGGGTTGTGTGTTGATTAAACTGTGAGATAAAGGACTAATCAATGCACGAAAAGTGCCCCATAAAAGTTCATAATGATTTGAAAATTAAGCCCAACATAAACCAGGATAATTTAAAGTAGAAAAGTGAGTTCTAAAAGAGTAAAGAAATTGATATTTTTCAAGTAAGAGGATGCTGACTACACACCATTGCACAGTAAGTGATGGGCAGCTGAGGGTAATGAGAAGGAAGGAAGCCTCTCATCTTAGTCCCCGGCTCTTAGTCTAGTTGAGTGGACTAAACTGTAGGAGGAAAACCTGTGTTAGCCTGTGAGGCTCCCACTATAAGAACACTGGAGGCCACATGAAGTTGCCTGGTTGTCAGAATAGACCAGAAAGAACAATTAGGATTTGGTTAGGCAGTGGGATGGTACCACTCACCCGAGGCAGAAACCTATATGCTAACCAAGGCATAGCAATGGGATGAGCTGCCTGTCTTCCAAGGAGAATGATGGAGGAAGGGGAAGGGTGAGGATGAAATAGGAAGCTTTAGTGACAAGTAACATGGGTAATAAGATCAAAAGAGAAAACAGAACAAGGGCTCATCAGCAGGCATAGGCCCTACAATATTGGGAAAAAGATGCTGAGATCCATAAAATGGCAACAGCTTATATTGTGGAGAAGAGATGGGAAGGAAATGGAGGGGAGCAGGGAATTTATCTCCAATCCCATTGTCTGTTCCATGGCACAGACACCCCGAGGGCTCCACAGCTCTGCCAGGAACACTCTCCCGCAGTGCCTGTCACGAACGCTGGTGACTGACAGGATTGTGCCCCCTCGAAGACTCTGCTTCCCTTTCTTAGGAATACCTAGGAAAAGGCTCATCTAAGGCACGTACCTTCTCTCTGCCTGGCTTTCTCACCTGTCCTTGCCAAACCTGGCCTTCCTATAAGGAATAATTAGGTTACATCTTCAGAACGTTTTGAGCTACAAGAAGGGAGGACATTGTGCACACACGTACAGGCACGGTTATTTTCGCAGGATTCCGTTTCCTCTCTTTTCTTTGAATCCATCTCCTGGTAACAGCTGTCTGGCTCCCTAAAGCCATCAACAGCTGCAATAATGAGCCCACCATTTGAGCCAGGGATGACACAGGCTCAGCCCTGAGGTGCAGCTGTTCTTTAAAGCCTAGTGTCTCGACCCTCCCCCTGGCCTGGAGAACAAAGAGGGCCATTCATTAACCCCCCCACATTTCCAGTTTTCACATGGGGGTTTCCCCTATTCCTTTTACCAGTGGTGCAGTCTCGTAATTCTGCCACTTATGCATAGTTTTGCCATAAGAACGCTCGAGATGCCTCTCTGAACTTTAGTTTCCAGTTCCAGTGGAGATGACACCATTATCCACATCTTGAGGGGGTTATGAAGTTCCCAAGATGTAATAGATATGAAAATCTTCTACAAACTATAAGGCACTGCTCCCATAGTAGTTTTTATTAAGGTCCTTGTTCCTGAGTTTAACAAGTGAAAAAAATTACTGAACAATATAGGACAGTGAAATAAACTGTCTGAATTGGACTGTCCACATAAGTGGTCACAGGAGTGAGGAGGCACAGAGGGTTTCTGGAGAAGACACTTGGCTGCACTTAGGGACTGGTAGAACCTGAAGGGTTAAGGGAGAGGAAGGGACATAGCCCAGGTAAAAGGCAAGAAAAAAAAATGCGTTCAAGGGACAGTGTAGAGCCTTCCTGGAATGGGGCAGAGAATGGGCACATAAAGTTGAAGGGTCGTGATGGGTTGGACCGGGGGTATCCTTACATGACAGGCAGGGCTGTTGTCAGGAGAAGTTTGAGTGGCATGGAAAAGTCAAGGAGTTATAGAGATCATCCTGCTCCCTGAGTCCTGTGGCTTATCCCTATTTAACAGGCAAGACAAAGGGGCCTGTACGGGACATGCCCTTGGCTTCCAGGGGCCAGGCTCAGTAGCTTTGGGACCCCTGCAGGTCTTCATCTGTCCAAGCCAGAGGCTCCCCACTTCTCTGCTTATTCGAAAAAGAGATTATCTAGCTCCAGCCTGGACTTACCAAATCAGAATTCTGGGAGAGGGGCCCAGGAATCCTTCTGAAAATAAACTTTCCTCTCTCCCCAGGTGTTCTTGTCCTCGTGGAATTGTGGGAATGCTGTGCATGTGACCTTGATGACTCCCTGCGCCAGGAGCCTCATCCATGGGCGGGCTTCCTATGCTGATGAAGGAGGTGACTGCTCAGTCTACAGAGGGCTGGGTAGAGTCACCCCGTGTGCCCGACCCAACTGTGACTGAGAAGACTGGCACTTTCTTCAGGAACACCTTTCTCTCTTTCATCTTTCTTGTTGCCCTACCCCGAACCTCCTTCCCATTTCTTTCTCCCCCATGCAAGCTAAATGCAGAGCTCTATCAAGGACTTAGTAATCCTCATGTCCTATTTATCAATGTTCTGTTCTCTTTACAAGAGTATTCCCCCCAATCACCTTCCTTCCTCCCCTTCCTTCCTTCCTTCCTTCCTTCCTTCCTTCCTTCCTTCCTTCCTTCCTTCCTTCCATCTTCCCTTATTTCCTATCTTTGTCTTTTCTTTATTTTTAAATAAATGTAGTACCCAGATACTTTGATTCAACTTGAGGGCAACTGTGATTTTTGAGTCTTTTTCCTCTATTCATGGACCTACTCAGGTCCGCTTTGCATAGTCACTGCTTCTAAAATTTTAAATTATTATCTTTTTAAAATTCAGAAAATATTGACAACCATAAAGAATAAGAGCAGCTACCAATGACTGAATGCTTACTATGTCTGAAGACAGTTATCGAGAAATTTCTTTACATGTATGAATCTTCACAAAAATCCTGTCAGGTAGGTACTGTTTTTATCCCCATATTATAAATAGAGAAACTGAGGCACAGAGAAACACCTTGGAGGACCGTTTTAGTGCAAATTGCTTTCAACTTTTTTGACACAGGTATTAAAATGCCACCCCAAATACCAGTACGTTACCTTCTTACTATCACATAATTAATGAAAGCAGAGGGATCCAGGTTTGAACAGGAACCCTATGCTTCTAACCATGACACAGACTATCCCTCAAGAATAAAGTCAGATGAATAAAGAAAAAAAATGACCTTCAGTTCCTATTACCAGAAATAACCAATATTTTTTAAAATTTTCTTTATTGATTAAGGTATTACATATGTATCCTTATCACCCCTTCCCTCCCCTCCCCCATCATGCCTTCACCCCCTGGTGTCTGTGTCCATTGGAAATAACCATTCTTAAATACTTCATCATTTTTTCTATGGAAAAAAATGTAATTGGATCAAAATATTAAGTTTGCAATCTTGATTATAAATTCTTAGATTATATTTCCTATGTTATATGTCCTCCATAAATGTGATTTTCATTGACTAATAGTATTCCATCACATGGAGGGGACATAATTTATGTCATCATTCCTTCATTGTTAAGTCTTGAGGTTGTTTCTAATTTTTTACTATCATAATACTATGACAAATATTTTTGTTCATAAATTTTGACTGTAACTAGTTCTGTAGAATAAAGGCCGTGTGTCAAAGCTATTTTTAAATCTAAAGTGCATTCTAGAGACTTTAGAATATTTAAGAAATCTCACCAGTTGACCCACAGCAGTGTGTGTGAGGGACCATTTCCTCACCCTCTTGCCAACGTTGCCAATTTGGGAGGTGAAAAATGACTTCTCCTTGTAGTTTCCATTTACATGTCTTTGATTACTAGCGAGATGGGACATTTTTTTTACATTTACTACCACTTGCACTTCTTTTGTGAGCTGTCTATTCATGCCCTTGTTCATTTTCCCAGTGGTGGACTCCTGTTTTTCTTATCCCTGTGAGATCTTCATAGCCATAACCTTTCGACTCAGATTTGCGAGAAATATTTTCCCTGGTTTGGTCTTTGCCTTGTATCTCTGCTTTCTAGGTGCTAATTAGCTTACAAATATGGAGATCTGAATTTAAAATGATCTAATGTAGAGGCCAGAATTTCTGAAAATAAGCAGCCTTTTTATGCAGATATCTGACTAAAAACATTTGTAGTATTCATTTTACTACCAGGAGTTTCCACATCTTAATTACTGGCCTTGGAGGGGACTAAAGAAGTAACTTTGCACGTTTCTGCTTTCCAGGCTGATAAAAACAGGGAACTCCTTGGAGGACCGCCTCAGTGCAAATTGCTTTCAACTTTTTTGACACGGGTATTAAAACGCCACCCCAAATACCAGTGGTAATAAAGAATCCAACTTAAAAGGGGGAGTAGGTGTAAATGTAACACATGAGATTTTTTTTGAATCTTGCTAGCCAGTTGCTGAACAATTAGGGGTGAAGCACTCAGAGCTGCTTCCCCTCCTGAGCCTGTGGGGGAAAACCAGGCTATTTGGGGCTAAATGTTGACATGAGATTTTTTGAACCAAGAGGAAATGCTCATATTCTCTTGTGACAAGAATCATCCCCACATCCTGCCCTGTTGTTCTCAAGGGAGAATTAGCTGCCACTTCCTCTGTTTTTCACCCTGGTCCATGCTCTCATGTTCCTCTGCCCTACACAATGCATTCTCTTCTCTATCACCCTCCTGCGGTCCACAGAACAGCCCATTTTGTGCAGATGTGATGAGAGCCCCCCCCCCCAAAACAAACATATTTTTATATAGAGAAAAACATCGATATGAGGTCAGCTACCTCCTGCATGCCCCCCTCACCCCCACCTTGGGATGGAGCCCACATCCCGGGCATGTTCCTTGACCAGGAATTGAACTGGTTCAGGTGACCCTTGGGTGCACTGGATGGTGCTCCAACCATCTGAGCCACAGCGGCCAGGGTATTTAGTCACATTTTCCAAATAGAAGGAGGCTTATATTCTGATCAGGAACCACAGGGGTCCCACAGGGATGTGGTTACCTGTAAGTGGATTATTTTAAGGGAAAGCCACGCTGACTTGGTTTCCATCTACATTCATTCAGCAAAGAAAATGCACACAGTGCTTGGCTGTGGAATGGGTGGACGAGTTGGGATCTTGAGCTCAGGTTGTCAGTGTGTTTGAGGGGAAAGGAAGCCATACAGATGTCTGGGACAAGAAGGATGCTCTTCCTCCCCACGTTGCTTAGTTAAGGGGATGGAGATAAACATGATTTCAGGTCGGGGAATCCTCCCCAGGAATGGCTTGAGAAGTCCACAGGGTTTTCTCTTTCTGTTCAAAAGGGCTTCTACAGTTCAGCATATTTATCTTCTGTCTCTCGTGTGTCCTATGAAGTAAGCCACTTTATTTCATTTCATTTTTTTTTTTTGGTCCGTATTTTGTCCTGGTAGAATACTTAGCCTGTGAAAATCATCTATTTGCTCATTGCATGATGCTTCACAATGGATTTGTAAGAGGACTAAAACCAAAATATTACATTTTGGCTTTCCAATGAACCTCAGACTCAAGTCAGGAGAGCCAAAAACTTTCACAGTTTCCCGGGTTAGTCAGGAGAGTAATGGCAGTGACCTTGAAAGGAACGCAGGCACTGGCCTTGCTAAAACTCTCACAGCTCAACAACACAGGAGTTCTATGCCAGTGACCAAGTAGGGAATTGCTACTTTTATTTCTCTTGACTAGCTCAAGGACACAGGGAGACATCACATTGCAATTAGGAGTTTTCTTCTCTCTCTCTCTCTCTCTCTCTCTCTCTCTCTCTCTCACACACACACACACACACACACACACACACACACACACACACACACACACACACTCCCTTTGCCCCAAAAGCATTATCTGTTTTTTGGTTGTGTGTTAGTTGGGTGCCAAGATTCTGTGATGGCGTGAAAGAGTGCATGTTTTTACCTTAGTCCTAACTGTGTTCAAACACCGTCTCTATCTCTTTCCCAGCAGGAAGTTCCAGGGACTGGACAGGCCGGAGGCTGGCATGGTCAGTGGGGTCCTGTGGCTGAGGCTGAGGGGCTGTGGAGTATACAAAGGTCGGGGAGTAGACCCTAAGGGCCAAAGACAGCTACTGACACCTGGCTGCACTGAGTGTCTGCGTGATGAGCTCAGGGTTGGAGGCAGTGAGGACAGGACGCGGCATTACTGCAGCAGATTCTGGGCGTGTCAACCGCAAGGTGTTGGGTGAGGCTGTGGCCTTTAAGGAGAGGCTGTTTCCATTGACCTTGGGCAAGCTCCTTAGCTTCTGAGTTTCATTTCCTCTCTTGTTAAGGTGAAGACGAGGCCTACCATACCCAATTATATGGAGGATGACATGAGATCCTGTATACAAGGCTCTCATTTCTGGCACCTAGCACAGAGGAAGTGCTGTAAGTACTCAAACAAGGAAAGTGTTCTTATTAACATTAACACATAAAATTATTTGTGAAAGAATGAGTTTTTTTTTCTAACATTTTCAGTTATAGGAAAATATGCGTAAATGTCAACTTACCTGCTGTTTAGTCAAGATGGTTGCCTGGCCGTAGGCCAGGGAAAGCACTAGAAGGTGGTCGGGAGACAGATGCCTTCTGTTCTAGAGCTGCGGACCCAAAGTTGTAAAACAGCCTTAGGACAGGAACAAGGGCCCTTTCAAAGCCCGCCCTCCCCTGCTCCTCCCTCATGATGTGGAAGCGCTCGCTGGAGCCTGGCCCTCCAGTCCGACCACCTGGGTCTAGCTTGTCTCCTCCACTTTTTAATCATGACCGTAAACAACTTTTTCTACTTCTCTAAGCCTCCATTCTTTTCTTATATAAAATGGGAACAAAAATAGTACTTTCTTTAAAGGATTTTTATAAGATCCCAATGGAATAAATCATACAAAGCCCTTAACACTAAATAAGCTTATTGGGGTAACTGTGGGTATGGCCAAGACAGGGGCTGACTCTGCGATTGTACACACAGCACTCCCTTCAGACTGTCAGAATCAGGCCTGTCCACAAATCATGGCAGAGAAATATGTGGGTGCTAATCTGTCTCACCATCTAATTCAGGAACGAGGACGGGAAGTCTAAACCTACTGCATCCTTTTAGCCTTCAGTGCTAGCACACGGGCCAATCTTGGGTGCTCTGTACACACTGACCATGTGATTGAATAGCACCAATCAGTCTCCCCTATTTTTAACTGTGTTGCTGCTATGGCTTGAGTTCAGGCATTAAGAGCACTACAGGGACCATTGTACTGATGCCTCTGACTGTCCTCAGGTGTTCCAGCCAGGGGTTAAAGCCTGGCCCGAGGCAGCCTGCCGAGATTTGAATCCTGGGCTACCAGTTATGAGGTGTTAGGGGTGGGGTCTCCGGTGAGTTACTTAACCACTCCGTGCCTCAGTTTCCTATTAGTACAACAGGACTGGTGGTGATAATAGCTTCTACTTCCTAGGGTTATTGCGAGGATTTTGTGAGTTAATCTCTGTTACACACCTGGAGTGCTATCTGGAGCAGCCTCAGCCTCCAGGCCTGCCCTGCTCAGCAGCTGGAGCCGTGGCCCCGGCTCTGCTGTCCTGAACCCCATGTCCACAGAATGAGCTCAGAGAGCTGCAGGGAGACAAGCAGGTCCATGCACATCTGGTTCTGGTTTATCTCTTACTAGAGAAAGAGAGGGTACATTGGCAAGCAAGGATCCCACGCAGTTTCCTTGTTCCCAAAACAGGTTTGGGGGACCAGCAATGCTGATTGCCTGAGGTCAGCAGAGGGGAGTGAGAGCACGGGAAGTCGTTCTGATACCAGCGACAAGAGCAAAGCCAACGCTTATTAAGTGCTGACAGTGTACCGAGGATTTGGCAGATGTTGTCTCATTTAGAAAACGAAATTTCGGAAAGTAGAAGTTTAAGGAATTAGCATTTTTAGAAAGAAGCTATAGAAAAAAAAAAGAGAGAGAGAGTCAGGGAGTCTGAGAGCAGAGGTGATATTATGTGGAAAACTGGGAGGTTTAGAATGAGGATTGAAAGCCGACTGACAGTGGCAACCCCAGCGCCTCGGGTCAACTGAGAGTCCCTTCTTTTTGAGTCACATTCAGGTCACCTGCCTCTACCACAACCAACTGAAATAGAAAAAATCGTATTTTTTAAAGGTGGTCTTACGGGGATCTTGGCTTGACCACTTTCTGCCAGGGAAATCTTAACTGAGTCTTTTAACCTCATAGAGCAGTGGTTCTCAACCTTCTGGCCCTTTAAATACAGTTCCTTATGTTGAGACCCATCCATAAAATTATTTTCGCTGCTACTTCATAACTGTAATGTTGCTACTGTTATGAATCGTAATGTAAATACCTGATATGCAGGATGGTCTTAGGCGACCCCTGTGAAAGGGTCATTCGACCGCCAAAGGGGTCACGACCCACAGGTTGAGAACCGCTGTTATAGAGCCTTAATACTTTCATCTGTAAAATGTTGGTTTATTTTTCTTAATAAAGGTTAATTAGAATATGTGTAAGTGTCCTTAAATAGTAGCAGCAGATTCCTGGCTTCCCAATAAGAGCTGAAGGAAAAGAAAGGGGAGGGGAGGGGAGAGGCAATCACTTGTTACATTTATTATGTTTTATTAATGTTATTCTGCCAGATAGGGCTAAGGGTCCTTTAGTAAGTAGCAAAATTAAGAGCATTCCTCCGCAGATTGCCCGAGTGAGCGTTTTCTTCCTCGAGCCTACTTAATTAAAAAAGACCATCCATGTTTTAATTAGACCATTGACATTTCGCTTCAATAACTGCAAAGGGGCCTTAACTAACCACGTTAGAGGACACGCTGATATTACTCTGAAATGTAACGCACTGTGCTTCTGATATTCATACTCCCTTGTAGAATTAGTTCCGTGGAGAAAAAGGGACGCTCATGGGACAAATGGGGACTCGGAGACACCCTTTTTCGAAGCCCAGGTCTGTCTCTCAGAGCATGTAGGAAGTGAAGCAAACTAGCGGGACCATCCAACCTCACACATCCCGGGGCATTTGGAGCTGGGGTGGGGAAAGCAGGCAGGCTCCCTAGTTAATTTCACACTTCCCCTATCCATTTCAAAAACAAGGTGTGACTCTGCAGCCAGATTTCAAAACAAAACAAAACACAAAGCACCCTCAGAAGGCTGACTGCCAGGTACCCTACCCCCTGTCCTGCCTTAAGGATCGTCCTCTATCCTGGTGTCTGTTTGCTGTGACAAATCCCAACCTGCTCAGTGAAAGCAAGGGCTTTCAGCTTCTTGGAGGGTATTTCCTGCTCCTTAAGGCTCTAAGTTTACTGGAGCTGCCGGCCTTTGTCATTCTGCCCGTAGGCTTCCTGCACTCTACAAAACCCTGGGGGAATTGCCTCAAGAGGGAGAAAAGGAGGAAGCTGGCATCCACCATGTCTTCTCCTCCCAACAGCCCTATGAAGTAAGGGTTTATTGTCTGCGTTTGGCATAGGAAGGCATCCAAGCTCAGAGGGGATACCTCCTCCCTAGACCTGTTTCTCCAACAGCACACCCCACAGGCTCTGAACCTCTAGGTGGGCTGAGGGGGGAGGGGGAGGAGGCCCTCTGGGGCACTCTGCTCCTCTCCGGCCCTGGCCCCCGCCTCCTGGCTGCAGGCTGCCCCAGGTTTGTTTTCTTTGGCTCCCCCTTTAATGAGTTCCACAGGACAATGCTAAGTCTAGTTATGCAGCCTTAATTGGTTTAGTTACCACAAGATAATTCCTTTTTTCTTCTCTTGGAGGCCTTTTTGTTTAGAGCCGTTTTAGCTGGAAGATGCTAATTATCAATGAGGAGAAAGTGACACCTGAGGAGTTCATCTTCCATCTTGGTCCTGCTCTCTCCTTTGAACTCCCTCTCCGGCCTCTTTCCCACTTCATCACTCGTCCCCCAGCATCATAAAAGCCAGCTCTGCCCAGGCGGGCGCAGAACCTTCTTTCTCACTTGCCAGGGAGCCCTTCTCTCTGCAGCTGCCTCGCAGGCATGGACAACCTGCGGGAGACCTTCCTGGGCCTGGAGGATGGCTTGGGCTCCTCCAGCAGCCCCGGTCTGCTGTCCGCCTGGGACTGGAAAAGCAGGGCAGGGTCCTTTGAGCTGAGCCAGGCCTCGCCCACTCAGAGCCTCTCCCCGGCCCCCTCGCTGGAGTCTTACACCTCTTCTCCCTGTCCGGCTGCGGCTGGGCTGCCCTGTGGGCATGGGGGTGCCAGCAACGAGAGCAGCGATGGCTGCAGCGGCCGAGACCCTGGTGGCCTGGTAGAGGTGGACTACAACATGTTAGCTTTCCAGCCTGCCTACCTGCAGGGCGCGGGGGGCCCCAAGGCCCAGAAGGGCACCAAAGTCAGGATGTCTGTGCAGCGGAGACGGAAGGCCAGCGAGAGGGAGAAGCTCCGAATGAGGACCTTGGCCGATGCCCTGCACACCCTCCGGAACTACCTGCCACCCGTCTACAGCCAGAGGGGCCAGCCGCTCACCAAGATCCAGACGCTGAAGTACACCATCAAGTACATCGGGGAGCTCACGGACCTGCTCAACAGCGGGAGGGAGCCTCGGCCCCAGAGCGCCTGAGCCCCCCCACCCCCGACCCCAGGGCTCCCTGGACCAGCAGCACACGGTCATGTTTGCATGGTCAGCGTGTGACCTTGTTGTCAGGAGAGTTTTAAGGGAATTCCCACTGGACTTGGTGGAACTGCCGGATAAGCAGGTACTTTGCTTCCAGCTTCCCCACGATTTCTCAGGAGTCTCGCCCTTTGCAAAGACACGGATTCGTTTGCCTTTCTCTGTCTGTTCAAGTTACTTTCAAGGTTCAATGATTTTAAATGCAGTTTTTTTAAGTAATGTGAAATCATTACAATTCATCTTCTCTTGTCATGTTGGCGTTGGGAGCTTTCTTTCCGTGGCCAATGAAACCTGTATTTTGTACAGGATCCAGTGTGACACCTGGATTCTTATTTAGAAAGTTCTGTGTCAAGTAAAGGGCACAGTGCTCCTGTGTGTGTGTGTGTGTGTGTGTGTGTGACTGAAACCCTGCCTTTACCTGCACAGGGACCAAAAATCCCTTAAATGCAGCAGAAGTGAGTGTCATGGTAAACAGACAGTCACAGGCAGACAGGCAGTGTTAAGACAGAGTGACAAGCCTAGAGGCCAGCGTCCTGTCTTAAGGGAAGGAAAAGAAGGCTGCGAGCGAGGCAGTGCAGGGAATGGGAGGGGGTAGGACAGAGGAGGAGGAGGAGAGGCAGGACTCAGCACTGCGGGGTGGGCCTGGGCTGGGAGGGCAGGGGGGCCCTGTGCCAGGCCTCCTGTGAATATGACCTCGCTGGATCCCATCACTTACTCATTTCTCAAGTGAAGAGAATGACTCAAAAAGAAAACCAGCCTATTTTAATTCTATAGAAAAGTGCCAGGGGCAGGATTAGAACCCTAGTCTACCTCGAATCCCTGCAAAGATATTTATTTCTTCACCCAGAGTATCAACCCCTCCTCCCCACCCCCAAATCACCCCACATGCACCCATACACCCCCTTCACTGTGCCTTATCTGAGGGGTTGACTATAGCGCCCTCAGCTTGGCTAGTTGGATGGCACATAGCATCAATAAGGGAGCTTTGAATTAAGGAAGTTCTCAGAAACCAGTAGGCTTTAAGGCTGAATATTTCCCCCCTCTGATTATAAGCATTTGTATTTGTTTCTCAATGTTTATGGCTTCTGTATTTTTTTCTGTTGGTGATTTTTTCTTCTTTTTAGCGACAAACTACAAAGGCAGTAGAGGTATTCACAATTTAGAGTTTCTCCACTTTTTCCTTTTCATAAAGCATGCAAATAAATGTAGGCGTACATACATTTTTAAAGACTCCCTTTAATTATGCAAATTGCTTTTTTTTAAAACTTGGGACATATAGCAAAAGCCCTTCCAAGTTAACACAAATAAATCTGTAACATAAGTGCCATTATTACCTTCATCTTACAGATGAGGAAATGGAAGCATAGACTTGCCCTGCGACCCACATGTGAACAAGTAGAGGATGCAGAAGTTCAACAATGTGCCATAGCATCATTTGTTGAATAATATTTAGGTTGTTTTCAGGGTTTTTTTTTATTACAAAAAGTGCTTTAACAGACATCACAGACAACTAACTAGCTTTATACACTGATATTTTAATTAGCCCGAACAATTTGCAGAAATGGGATTCCTGGATCAGAGTGTGTGTACATTTTAAAGTTGAATAAATGTTGTTAGATGACTTTTATGAAGTTTGTAATTATTCACACTTTTCCTATCATTATGGGACAGAGCCAGCCCCTAGATCCCAAAAGATATTACCAATCTTTTGAACTGTTTTAATGGATAGAAAATAGTTATGTCGTTGTGTTCATTTTAATTTCCCTGTGTACTGTTCGAGATGGTGCGGCTTTTAAAATTTTATGTTACCGTTGTTTATTTTGGTTCTTTTTTATAACTTGCCAGTTTATGCTCTTTGTCATTTCTCTATTGGTTATTTATCATCTTGTTAATAATTTGGGAGAGTTCTTAGTACATTATATGTGATACAAATATTTCCTTCCAATCTATCATTTTGTTACCATCCTTATGATATTTTATATATGACTTTGAGTATGATATCTTTTCCTCTTTTAAGCTTTGCATTTTATATGATCGAATATCTCCTTTTTTATGGCTTATATATTTCTTCACTTTGCTTAATTTTCCCCTGTTCCAAGGTTATCTAAACATTTAGATTTAAATATATATGTTTCTGTAATTATTTATCTATAGCTCTTTAACATACCTGCAATTTATTTTTTTATATTTTGTGCATAGAAGGAATCTAACTTTATTTCTGATTAGTGTTTTTATAACTGAAGAATATTTTGCCATTGGCGGGTGGCGGGTGGTAGGCACAGTTACTAAAATGTTATCTTGTATGTACAACCTTCATCAACTTCTCTACATTTATCGGTGGTGTTTTAGAGAAGAAACTGGAAAATGTTGGACAATATCAAGGCTTTCCGTAAGGGCCTCTACCCTGTGTATGTATAGTTGTTAATGTGAGTGTATGTGTGTACATGTATGTATTTGTGTGTGTGTGTTATTCCATTTATTGGGGGAGGAGGGTTAGAAAGGAGAGTGTAATATGGGGAAGAATATGTCCAGCCTTTGATCAGCTTTTAGATCCATTGTCATTTTCCTTGCCATGCTCTTGACTTTTGATTTTTTTTCAAGTTCAAGCATTAAGAATGGGTTATAAATAGCTTGGGCAATTTTGGTTGCTCTGAGGACTGAATTCTGTGAATGGGTTAGGAGATCCTGTCCTCACTTTCAGACAACCCTGAAAGCCACAGACTCCCTACTAGCTGGGCTCCTAAGGGGCCAGCCCAGGGGAGCCTCTGGAAAGGCAGGAGAAGGTGACAGCTTCCTGGCAGGAGGCCTCTGGCGCAGGCCTGGCTGCACTCTGCACAGCTGCAGGCCTCCCCACATTGCATGGGCATCCCCGGCCCGCCTGGGGAGGAGGCAGCTGCCCATCAGCATCTGACTGCAGCAGTCCACGATGAAGTCACCTCCCTGGGCGGGGGTGGGGGTGAGGGTGGGGTGGGACCTGGAGCAGGTCCCTGATTCCTCTAGGGAGCATTGAAAAGCAGCAGCCGGCCTGGGCCAAGCTCAAGGATGGGAATAAGTCACTTTTGGTGCTTAGATAGGAACTGCAATCTGTGTGTGTCCAGTGTGCTGTGGTGGGAATTTTCATATTTTTAATTTCACATTATCCTCCTAACAGCCCCAGGCCGTGGGCATTATCAGTCCCATTCTGAGGATGAGGAAACGAAGGTCTAGGATAGCGAAGCAGTGCAAAGCCACACGATCAGGAGTGGCACGTGGTGGAAGAGTTGGCTAGTGAGTTAGGCTCTCACTCCAAAGCTCAGGCCCCTCCCATGGATTCCTGCTGCCTCTCTTCCAGGGGCTCCCAGGGCGCCAGCCCCTGCTCTGGGCAGCAGGAGAGCAAATCCTCACTCCCCATCTCCACCTTTTCTCTGCGCCTCCATCTCTGGGGCCCTCGCTCCTTTCACCACCTGAGACAGTTCAGAAGGGGCTCTTCATCTTGTCACTTAAATGATTTCCCTTTGAACTTCCACCTCCACCCCAAACATTTCCAGAAATTCCCTTCCCTTCCTTCCTGGCGCCCAGAGTCCTTCCTAATCCACAGAGGAAACCTGACGTCTGTTCATTTGTGTTCAATAAAGTTTCCCCAATTCACACCGGGCTGAGGTTTCTTTGTTCTTGCAGCTCCTGCCACATTAGCTGAATGGGAGAGAGGCCCGAGCAGGGGTGGGGAGATGCTTTGCAATCTAAGAAGCCAACAGAATCACCCTTAAAGTTGTTCCTTAAGAACATTTTTTTAAAAACAACAGCAGAAGAAGATGCCTAAGTAGGTGAGTTTTGGTGTTGCTGCCTGTGAGGTCCTATTACGATGGTTCCGTAGGTTCTGTGCCTGCACCGATTCCTGTATGTGCTTCAGGCTGCGGGAAGGAGCTGAGCCTGGCCCTGACCCCTGTGGGCTCGGCCCACGCAGACTCCACTACGACCAGCTGGCACACGCCTCTTGTCCTCCTGTGTGGCCAGTGAAGTATTGAAGCTAACGCAGTGCCTCTTAGAACACTCAGATCTTGCTCCTCGGGTTCCAGAAAGGCCCTTGAACTCTGAGGAGGAAGAAAGCAAAAAGCATTTGAGGAGGCTGGGGAAAGGACAATTCTTTGTCCGTCTCCTGGGTTGGAAAACGATTGTCTTCCCTCTCTCAGCAGTCTCCCCTGAAGTTATGAATGAACTCTGTGACTTCTGTTTGTCTTCATTAAGTTAAGTGGGGAGGCAGGCAGGGCTGGAGGTCGGGCCCTGTAGGAGGGAGGAGAGTTTGGGAAGCAAGCGGTGCCCTGGGCTATTCCCAGCCCAGTCAGCAACAGATGTGGATGGATTCATCATCCCAAGTGTCAGGCTCAGGGCCAAGGGCTCGCTATACTTTTTCTCCTTTAATCTTGACCGCTAACAATAGGAGACGGCTATTATTAGCCCATTTTGTAAATAAACAGGCCAAGGTCACCTAACTGGGGTAGGCCCAGGAGTCTACCCAGGTCTGCTTGACTCATCTTCCCACAAGACTGAGGTCTCTGAGCCAGAAGGCAGCCGTGACTAAGCCAAGGACAGAGAGGCCTCTGCATTCCAGCCTCGCCCACTAGTGTGTGCTCTTGCTCTGCCTTTGCATTGTCCAAACAACGTATTAGCATTGCTGTAGATCAGGCAGATGTTAACTGGCGACACCCTTCCTACTCCTGTCGCGTGAGGATTGGAACATGACCCCTTTCTCTCTCTCTCTCTCTTTCTCAAAATAGAATTTTTTAAAAAAAACTGTGGAAGTTTTGTAACAACTTTGGGGCATTTGTATGGCTCCAAAGATATACAAATCTGACTTCAGAAGCACCTGTTCTCAGGGACTACAGCTACATACCCTTTTCCTCAGTTTCTTTTAGGTACAAAGTGACAAAATTAAAATGGCAATCATTGTAATAATAGCAACTAATATTTATT